TGACAGAAATGTTAAAACCAGTGGGGGATATAGTGTTGGAGTGGTTGGTACTTTTGTTTAATAAATGTATGAAAGAGGGGAAGGTACCTTGGGATTGGCAGGAGAGCATGTATAGTCCCTTTATATAAAGGGAAAGGGGACAAAAGAGATTGTAAAAATTATAGAGGAATAAGTTTATTGAGTATACCAGGAAAAGTGTACGGTAGGGTTATAATTGAAAGAATTAGAGGCAAAACAGAATGTAGGATTGCGGATGAGCAAGGAGGTTTCAGAGTGGGTAGGGGATGTGTAGATCAAGTATTTACATTGAAGCATATATGTGAACAGTATTTAGACAAAGGTAGGGAAGTTTTTATTGCATTTATGGATTTAGAAAAGGCATATGATAGAGTGGATAGGGGAGCAATGTGGCAGATGTTGCAAGTATATGGAATAGGTGGTAAGTTAGTAAATGCTGTAAAGAGTTTTTATGAGGATAGTGAGGCTCAGGTTAGGGTGTGTAGAAGAGAGGGAGGACTACTTCCGGTAAAAGTAGGTCTTAGACAGGGATGTGTAATGTCACCATGGTTGTTTAATATATTTATAGATGGGGTTGTAAAAGAAGTAAATGCTAGGGTGTTTGGGAGAGGGATGGGATTAAATTATGGGGAATCAAATTCAAAATGGGAATTAACACAGTTACTTTTTGCTGATAATACTGTGCTTATGGGAGATTCTAAAGAAAAATTGCAAAGGTTAGTGGATGAGTTTGGGAATGTGTGTAAAGGTAGAAAGTTGAAAGTGAACATAGAAAAGAGTAAGGTGATGAGGGTATCAAATGATTTAGATAAAGAAAAATTGGATATCAAATTGGGGAGGAGGAGTATGGAAGAAGTGAATGTTTTCAGATACTTGGGAGTTGAAGTGTCAGCAGATGGATTTATGAAGGATGAGGTTAATCATAGAATTGATGAGGGAAAAAAGGTGAGTGGTGCATTGAGGTATATGTGGAGTCAAAAACGTTATCTATGGAGGCAAAGAAGGGAATGTATGAAAGTATAGTAGTACCAACACTCTTGTATGGGTGTGAAGCTTGGGTGGTAAATGCAGCAGCGAGGAGACAGTTGGAGGCAGTGGAGATGTCCTGTCTAAGGGCAATGTGTGGTGTAAATATTATGCAGAAAATTCGGAGTGTGGAAATTAGGAAAAGGTGTGGAGTTAATAAAAGTATTAGTCAGAGGGCAGAAGAGGGGTTGTTGAGGTGGTTTGGTCATTTAGAGAGAATGGATCAAAGTAGAATGACATGGAAAGCATATAAATCTATAGGGGAAGGAAGGTGAGGTAGGGGTCGTCCTCGAAAGGGTTGGAGAGAGGGGGTAAAGGAGGTTTTGTGGGCAAGGGGCTTGGACTTCCAGCAAGCGTGCATGAGCATGTTAGATAGGAGTGAATGGAGACGAATGGTACTTGGGACCTGACGATCTGTTGGAGTGTGAGCAGGGTAATATTTAGTGAAGGGATTCAGGGAAACCGGTTATTTTCAAATAGTCGGACTTGAGTCCTGGAAATGGGAAGTACAATACCTGCACTTTAAAGGAGGGGTTTGGGATATTGGCAGTTTGGAGGGATATGTTGTGTATCTTTATATGTATATGCTTCTAAACTGTTGTACTCTGAGCACCTCTGCAAAAACAGTGATTATGTGTGAGTGTGGTGAAAGTTTTAAATGATAATGAAAGCTTTTCTTTTTGGGGTTTTTTCTTTTTTTTTTTTGGGTCACCCTGCCTCGGTGGGAGATGGCCGATTTGTTAAAAAAAAAAAAAATTCATTATGTCTTTTAAAGGGGAAATTGGGGTTTAAAATATTATGCGAAATTGGGAGTGGGGAAAATTTGGGAAAAAGGTGTGGAGTTAATAAAAGTATTGTCAGGGGCAGAAGGGGGTTTTTGAGGTGGTTTGGTATTTAGAGGAAGAACAAAGTAGAATAAAATGGAAAGATATAAATCTTGGGGAAAGGGAAGGTGGGGTAGGGGTCGTCCCAAAAGGGTTGGGAGAGGGGGGTAAAGGGGGTTTTGGGGGCGGGGGGCGGGGACTTCCAAAAGTGCGTGAGCGGTTAGAAGGAGGAAGGAGAGGAATGGACTTGGCCCCTGACGTTTGTTGAGTTGAGCGGGGTAATTTTTAGTAAGGGATTCGGGAAAGGTTTTTTTCAAAATCGGACTTGATCCGGGAAAATGGGATACAATGCCTGCCTTTAAGGGGGGTTTGGTTTTGGCATTTTGGAGGGATATGTTGTGTATCTTTATACGTATATGTTTCTAAACTGTTGTACTCTGAGCACCTCTGCAAAAACAGTGATAATGTGTGTGGTGAAAGTGTTGAATGATGATGAAAGTATTTTCTTTGGGGATTTTCTTTCTTTTTTGGGTCACCCTGCCTCGGTGGGAGACGGCCGACTTGTTGAAAAAAAAAATATCATTACAGTGATCATTATAATTGTGATAAGTAAGAATGTTATGCTAATGATAATTATAATGACTGTGATGATTGTGATATATAGAATGTTTCACCAGTAGGAGGCCCTGGTACTCCCATAGTTGGTACTCCCATAGTTGGTACTCTCATAGTTGGTACTCCCATAGTTGGTACTCCCATAGTTGGTACTCCCATAGTTGGTACTCCCATAGTTGGTACTCCCATAGTTGGTACTCCCATAGTTGCTACTCCCATAGTTGCTACTCCCATAGTTGCTACTCCCATAGTTGCTACTCCCATAGTTGCTACTCCAGTAGTTGCGTACTCCCATAGTTGATACCCCCATAGTTGGTACTTCTGTAGTTGGTACTCCCATAGTTGGTACTCCCATAGTTGGTACTCCCATAGTTGGTACTCCCATAGTTGGTACTCCCACAGCTGGTACTCCCATAGTTGGTACTCCCATAGCTGGTACTCCCATAGTTGATACTCCTGTAGTTGATACTCCCGTGGTTGGTACTCCCATAGTTGCAACCATCTAGTGAATGAAACAGCCTCTAGTTACCACAATCATTATAATTATCATCTGATGATTATATGATGATTATATAATGATGTGAATGATGAAAGAAGAGAGTTTTAGGTGAAATATTTATTATTGTGTACATTAAGTCACTGTACAGTACATTAAGTCAGTGTACAGTACATTAAGTCAGTGTACAGTACACTGTCACTGCACAGCACATTAAGTCACTGTACAGTACATTTAGTCACTGTACAGTACATTAAGTCACTGTACAGTACATTAAGTCAGTGTACAGTACACTGTCACTGCACAGCACATTAAGTTACTGTACAGTACATTAAGTTACTGTACAGTACATTAAGTCACTGTACAGTACATTAAGTCACTGTACAGTACATTAAGTTACTGTACAGTACATTAAGTTACTGTACAGTACATTAAGTCACTGTACAGTACATTAAGTTACTGTACAGTACATTAAGTTACTGTACAGTACATTAAGTTACTGTACAGTACATTAAGTCACTGTACAGTACATTAAGTTACTGTACAGTACATTAAGTCACTGTACAGTACATTAAGTTCACTGTACAGTACATTAAGTACTGTACAGTACATTAAGTTACTGTACAATACATTAAGTTACTGTACAGTACATTAAGTTACTGTACAGTACATTAAGTTACTGTACAGTACATTAAGTTACTGTACAGTACATTAAGTTACTGTACAGTATGTTGTCTCTGTACAATACATTAAGTTATCATACAGTACATTGTCACTATACAGTACATTAAGTCATTGTACAGTACATTAAATCACAGTACAGTACTGTCACTGTATATTAAGTCACCATACAATACATTATGTCACTGTACAGTACACTATATGGTGAAATTAACATTATACATAATGTCACACCACTAAGGTGACATTATACATGATGTCACACCACTAAGGTGACATTATACATGATGTCACACCACTAAGGTGACATTATACATGATGTCACACCACTAAGGTGACATTATACATGATGTCACACCACTAAGGTTACATTATACATGATACAAGGTAGAAGACAAACAACACATATATAATGATAGCAGACATCATACATATAAAATGAATGATAGCAGACATCATACATATAAAATGAATGATAGCAGACATCATACATATAAAATGAATGACAGAGGACACATTATATAAAATGAATGATAGATGGCACATTATATATACATATACATAAATGATAGAAGACACATTATACATATATAATGAATAAAATAGTTGCGATTAAGAAGCATTATACATATAGACCGGAGCAAATGTTACAATAAAAACACTGAACACTACAATGAACACATCACACTAGGAACTGTCAGCAGTGGTACACATAGGTGTGTACATGTGTACAACAGGTGGAGACTGCACACACACACATTACACCATAACCCAAGCATTAAACCCATAAGGGTCATCAGTTATACTGCATCATCATGATCATCAGTTATACTGCATCATCATGATCATCAGTTATACTGCATCATCATGATCATCAATTATACTGCATCATCATGATCATCAATTATACTGCATCATCATGTGTGGTTTAGAAGATGGATGGCTCAAGACCACTGGGCAATGGAGGTAAAGTAAGTGATCATTATATAATGATACAGTGTATCACCAATAATGATACACTGTATCATCAATATATAATGTCTTTCATAACTTTGTTGTAATTGTCAAGTACAGTAAAGCCTCTGTATAATGCACTAATGGGGCAACTGTCCACATATCCATTAAATGATAAAAAGTACTATGTAAAGTACTCTACTGTACACCTAACATAGTACCATACACACAATGTATCATCATATTACAATAAACATTGAAAATAAAAAGTTAAAAGTACAATTTAACCAACTGATTTTGTCCATTATTTTAGTAGTCTGTTATATTGAGGTTCATTATACAGAGAGCTTACAGGTAATGTATCAAATGTTTATTAAATTCATTAATATTATTTCACTTCTTCATGAAGTTCCATGTGTTTTATTAGTTCTGATTTGTAAGTAAAGTCTTGAAGACATCTGGTACATTTATATGGCTTCTCTCCTGTGTGAATTCTCATGTGTTTAATTAGGTCCGACTTATAAGCAATGTCTTTCAGACATACTGAGCACTGATATGGTTTTTCGCCTGTGTGAACTCTCATGTGTGTCATCAGATTTGATTTACTTACAAAGTCCTTAAGACATTCTGGACACTGATATGGCTTCTCACCTGTATGAGTTCTCATGTGTGTTATGAGATTGGATTTTGTTATGAAATCTTTCAGACATTCTGAACACTGGTATGGTTTTTCTCCTGAATGGAGCTTCATGTGAAGTATTAGAGACGATTTTCGTGAAAACGCTTTTACACACTCTAGGCACTGATAGGGTTTCTCCCCTTTGTGAACTTTCATGTGTATTGTTAGAGATGACGTTTGTGAGAAACCTTTCAGACACTCTGGACACTTGAACGGCTTCTCTCCAGTGTGAACTCTCGTGTGTTTTACAAGATCTGATTTTGAGGAGAAGTCCTTTAGGCACACTGAGCAGTGATGAGGCTTCTCGGTAGCATGAACCTTCATGTGCGACATTAGGTTTGATCTATTTAGAAAGTCTTTCAAACACTGGGAACACTGGTATGGTCTCTCTCCTGTATGGACTCCCATGTGAAGCATTAGATTGGATTTCCGCGAGAAGTTTTTCAGACACAATGTGCATCGGAACGGTTTCTCTCCCGTGTGAATGGTCCTGTGTCGTTCAAGATGCGCTTTCTGTGAAAATTCTTTAGAGCACTCTGGACATTGGTATGGTTTTTCTCCTGTATGAATCTTCTTGTGAAGTATTAGAGATGACTTTTGTGAAAAATCTTTCAAGCACTCTGAACATTTATAGGGTTTCTCTCCTGTGTGAACTCTCATGTGAAGTGTCAGAGATGATTTAGCAGAGAACACTTTTGGACAAACTAAACAGTGATATGGTTTCTCCCCTGTATGAACTCTCATATGCGTTATGAGATTTGATTTATAAATGAAGTCTTTGTGACACACTGAACACTGGTATGGTTTCTCCCCAGTATGAACTCTCAAGTGCAGTATTAGAGATGATTTTCGTGAAAATGCCTTCAAACATTCTGAACACTCGTAATGTTTCTCTTCTGAGTGAACTTTCATGTGAAGTATTAGAGATGATTTCTGTGAAAAAGATTTCAAACATTCTGAACACTGGTATGGTTTTTCTCCTGTGTGAATCCTCATGTGTATCCTAAGATAAGATTTAGTTGAAAACTCTTTTAAACATTCTAAACATTGATGGTGTTTACCCCGCATATGAACTCTCATGTGACGTATTAGATGAGTTTTACACGGATAGTCGTTCATACACAATAAACACCGATGTGTTTTCTCACTTATATCTTTTATATGATGCATTATCGTTGTTATATATACTGAATTTATTTACACACAGTATGCCAGAATGTTTAAAATGTTTTGTTTACACCTTGTGCATTGTAATTATAGTCTGACTATATCGCATAAATACAGCTTCTAACAACCTATACTATGTAAATTAGTGACCATGAATCTGTACCACATAAATTAACATGCTTTATCCTGATAACTGAAGTATAGATCATGCAAATTCAAACTGAAATAACATTTAAGTATGCAACTTTTGCCTGACCTTCATTAATAATAAACTGTTACATTAGGACACCACAAGTATAATTAATTCAATGTCATTAATGGTCATTATTTTTAAAAGTACACAGCTTAATTATGAGTGTAGTAATTTTCGTGATTTACAATGTATAAAGACATGAGCTGGGTACTGCTAGTGTCAGTATAACACTTCTTGAAAACATGAGCTGGGTACTGCCAGTGCCAGTATAACACTCTTCTTGAAGACATAAGCTGAGTACTGCCAGTGTTAGTATAGCACTTCTTGAAGACATGAGCTGGGTACTGCTAGGGTCAGTATAATGCTTCTTGAAGACATGAGCTGGGAGAAGGAAAGAATGAAACATTTACAACATTTATATTCCACAAATGTAAATGATTAAGACACATGTGCAACAACTGGGTATCTTTATTGTTGAAATGTTTCATCTATGCAGTGGGCTTCTTCAGTCAGATATAGGAGTAGTGGCAATGTAAAGATGATGATAGCTGTCCATCAACCTTGGAGAAATAGTTTGAGGTGGTCAGTCCCTTAGCCTGGAGAAGAGTTCAGCTCCATGACCTGAAACAATATGGAGCTGAAGCATGAGACTGGAATCTTAAATACTATCGAAGGTGAGGAGGAAGCTCTCGAAGACAATGCAGGGGACGGGGTTCACTAGTAGAAGAAAGAAGACAAGAATTGTGGAGCACTTCAGCAAGCCTACTGGAATGCTAGGGAAGTCCCTTTGGACCTGCTGTCTATAATATAGTCTCCTCTGTATTTTATTAATGAAGCCTACTAGTAGAAGCAATGTTTCAACAATAAAGATACATGTAGTCAATTATTGCACATGCATCTTATCATCACCATGTCAGTATTTTATACCATTTTCAACACACAAATGTAAAATATCTTTGCTTCTTCAAGTACTCTCACAATTTAACTTCAAGTACACTGACAATTCCTAGCTGTTTTGCGAAATTCCCTCACAACATATATAACATAACACAGGTACATGTTATGTTGTATATGTTGTACTGTACTAGTATATCTCTTACACAGAAGTCAGTGTACAAATTTTCATATGTAAATTTTTTCCTGTGTATTATATAATGTTTGGAGTATACCATAAACTTAGTTGAAGGCTAGATTCAAGGCAGAACATACCCTTGTATACCCAAGCACCAATTTAGGGTACAAGAGTGTTTTATTTTAATACAATAATCTTTATTTCTATCCCATAATTATTATAAATATTTTTTTATAGGGAAATTAGTTTACTGAGTACACCAGGTAAAGTGTATGGTAGGGTTATTATTGAAAGAATTAGAGGTAAGACAGAGAGCAGGATTGCAGAACAACAAGGAGACTTTAGAATGGGGAGGGGATATGTAGACCAAGTGTTTACATTGAAGCACATAAGTGAACAATATTTAGACAAAGGTAGGTAAATTTTTGTTGTATTTATGGATTTAGAAAAGGCATATGATAGGGTAGATAGGGAAGCAATGTGGCTGATGTTGCAATTGTATGGAATTGGATGCAAGTTATTAAATGCTGTAAAGAGTTTTTATGAGGATAATGAGGCTCAGGTTAGGATGTGTAGGAGAGGGGGAGATTACCTTCCAGTAAAAGTAGGCCTCAGACAGGAATGTGTCATGTCACCATGGTTGTTTAACATATTTATGAAGCAAATGCTAGGGTGTTGAGGAGAGGGGTGGGATTAAATGATGGCGAATCAAATACAAAATGGGAATTGACACAGTTACTTTTTGCTGATGATACTGTGCTTTTGGCAGATTCTAAATAGATGTTGCAAAGGTTAGTTGACGAGTCTAGGAGGGTGTGTAAAGGAAGAAAGTTGAAAGTGAATATAGATAAGAGGAAGGTGATGAAGGCATCAAATCAGTTAGGTCAAGAAAAATTGGATATCACATTGGAGGGAGGAAGTATGGAAGAAGTGAATGTGTTCAGATATTTGGGAGTAGACTTGTCAGCAGATGGGTTCATGAAGAACAAGTTAAACCATAGAACTGATGAAGAAAAAAAGGTGGGTGGTACACTAAGGTATCTGTGGAGAAAAAGAACATTATTCATGGAGGCATAAGGAAAAAAATATCACCATATCAAAAACAATATACTCAGATCACAACATAATTAGGTACATTCACGATGGCAGACGGAGTCCCCCGACCGTACAGTAATGAGATTAGTCACGAGGTAGCAATTCACCAAATTCAATTCTTACTTACAATAACAAAAACAAAAAGTGGGACCCAAGTAAAAACCAAGTCCTAACCGATATAAGCTGGGAAGATATACAAAGCAACCACAGACCCCAACTTATTGCCCTGAACAGATTTATAACTCGTAGCACGTTCGATGTATGCACAAGGCTATTCTCTAAGAAAAAAGGAAGGAAGTAGAATAGTAAAACAGAAAGAGAAGGAGCGCTCCCTTTACAGGCGACGGAAAAGAATAACAGAAGCGGCTACAGAGGTCTATATCTCTTGAAAGATGCTAGGGAGACACTGGACAATGAAAACTAGCAAGCATCGAACTTAAGCTAAAAGAATCCTTTCGGAGTCCAGGAATCGGCGTGGGGAAGAGACTAAAAGCCATAAATTGAAATCGAAAGAAACACCCCAAAGTTATTCTTCTCCTATGCCAAATCAAAATCAGAGACAACGTCCAGTATTGGGGATTGGAGGCCCACTACTTAAAACAAGAATGGGTCCTACAAAAGGACAACAAGGAAAGAGTGAGCTACTCAAGTCCCAATAATGACTCATTTTATTAGCAAGCACGCTAACCAGACTGAGCGTCGAAGATTCAAAATGAATTTTTTTATGAGAGAGCCACAAAAATTTGATTAAACACAATCCTATCCGATGTTATCCTGACGCACAAATGACTTCGAACAGCGATAAATGACATATTCCATGCACTCTGCCAACCAGGCCGAGACTCATGGAAACTACTGTGTTTCATCAAAACTGCAAGAAGCCCCTATCACGACCCTTTTTCCATCCTATGGAGAGGGATACATGGACCCGGGGGTCGTCCCACAGTTAATCTAAAACAACAGACAATATCCCCACTCCACAAAAGGTGGAGGGCAGTAAAGCAACAGCAAAGAACTACAGGACCAATATAGCACACAACATCCCAATATCTATAAAAAAATCTTAGAAAGGGTCCAAGAAGCAAGATCAACCACCCATCTATGAAACCACATCAGTTACACAACCCAGGGCAACATGGGTTTAAGAACAGGTCGCTCTCCTAGTCTGTCCTCAACTATTGGATACAACTACGACAAGGTCCCTAAAAATGCACTAGAAGACAAAAAGAATGCAGATGTAAATATATCCAGACTTATGCAAAAGCCTTCGACAAGTGGTGACCATGGCGAAATAGCGCACAAAATGACTTGCTAAAAGAATAACAGGAAAAGTCGGTCGATGGGATTCTTGATAATTTTTTCCCTCACAACAGAACACAGAGGATGAGTCGTCTAACAAGAGTAAAGTCGAGGCACTACGGTGAAAAAGCTCTGATCCACAAGTGAGAACAGACTCGCTCTCCCATCTGTTCCTCATCCTTATATCCCGACATAGACAAGGAGTCAAGCCACAGCACCGAGTCTTTCCTTTGCAGATGCACCCGAATATCTAATTACTGCATGACAGTTTCATCCATTGCATACACAAGCAAAGCTCCAGGCAGACATACAAACGCAAAATCTTTCAGTGGGCTGACAGAAACAATAAGAAAGTTTCAACGATAGAAATTTTTTCAATTACTCTCAGATATTGGTAAAACCTGATAAATTAAATCTTTCATGCAGAGAACAAAAACAATTAATTCCTTGGCCACAAAAATTAGAGCACACAAACCAACGTCAAAGACACTGGGAGTGATCATGTCGGCGAGGATCCTCACCCCTTCAAGGACCATAACATTGTATCAATCGCATCTGTCTAGAATTAATGACAGGATGGAATAATGGGGAGGGGGGGAGAACCTTCAAAACTAGGGAAGGCCCAAGCCCAGAGTACACTCATCGGTCACTTGTTCATCTAGCTGGAAATTGGCTGGCCACACTAACAAGCACCATTTTCAAGGCAGGTGAAACTATGCCGACCGAGAAAATGTACATAGAACGTTCACGGCAGCGCATAACGGAGATAAAACACCACTCAATTATGTGGGAAGCGCTTGAGTTCCTAAACCTGTATTTCCTGTAACCAGGAGGGAGAGATACATATTATATACACCTGGGAAAATCCTAGAGGCGGACTAGTACCGAACTTGCACACGAAAATCACCCACGACAAGCAAAAGACTTGGCAGACAGCACCATCCCCCCCATGAAAAGCCGGGGTGTCACTAGCAACGTTAAAACGAATACCAAACAATATTGTCAGGGGACCCGAGACAGCTCAACTGCCTCCCAGCACACATAAGGGGGATTACCAACAAGACCCCTGGCATCTTCAAGCTGGCACTGGGCAAGCAAACCTTAAAGTCAGTTCCGGATCAGCCGGCTGTGGCTTCGATATGTTGGTTTTTGCGTAGTCAGCCAGCCAGCAACAGCCCTGGTTGATCAGGACCTCTGATCCACCAGGAGGCCTGTCTACAGACCGGGCCGCGAGGGCGTTGACCCCACCCCGGAACTCTCCTCCTCCAGGAGGTAAACTCCAGAATGCGATTGATACAATTATGGTCCTTGAAGGTGAGATCCTCCGACATGATCACTCCCAGGTCTTGACGTTTGGTGTTTCGCTCTATTGTGGCCAGAATTTGTTTGTGTACTACTGATGAGAATATAATTTATCCTCATGTTTAACCATATCGAGTAATTGAAATTTCTCATCGTTGACTTCATATTTGATTATTCCCCTGCAGCCCACTGAAAGATTTGTTGAAGTCCTGCTGGAGCTTTGCAGTGTCTGCAATGGAAGAACACTGTCCTGACCCAGTATTCGGGTGTCATCTGCAAAGGAAGTACACGGTGCAGTGGCTGACATCCTTGTCTATGACGGATATAAGGATGAGGAACAAGGTAGACAAAAGAATGAAAAAAGAAGAAAGTGAGTAAATATATAGAGGTAGTTGGTACTATAGCAAAAGATAGTTAAGGCCTTGAACAAATAATAAAAATTGAAATCTACACTAATTGCACACACAATATAGTCACTAAGATATGAAAACTATCTTAGAGTAGGGAAAAAAAAAAAAAATTAAATATAAACACGGATAGTATAAAAATACAAAATTGAAATGGTACTTGCAATTGCACTAGAGATAACTCGACTTAATACTAAGGACATTAGGTGAGTATTAGAACGAATACAAGACAATTTAATTTCCAGTTAGTTCAAACCCTGTACACAGAACCGGCCGCGGGGCGTTGAGATCCCCAGAACTTCTCTCACCAGGGTAAACTCCAGGTAATGCTAATGGCTTTAATTAAGTTTGGTAGAGAAGACTTACAACAAGGAAGCCAACTTCTTCTATATCAACATTCTGGCAAGTAACGCTAATAATAACATTGTTCGTGATACATCAAAAGCGATTTTAAAGG